AGAAAAATAAGTTTTTATGAATATAACTTTTAATAGTAACAAAACTTAAATGATATTTCAAGGTAATATTTAAAAAAATGCATTTAAAGAATTTAAAGCGCAACCCAAAGTGAAAAATTTTACATTAGATTTAATTAAATTTCAAATACACTTCAGCCTCAATTAAATAAATATATTAAAAAATATTGTAAAGATAGTATAAAAGCAAGACTAGTTTTTACATCTTTTAAAATAAGTAGTATGCTTTCTAAAAGAACCCTTACCCTCAAATTTAAAATCCTTTTTGTCTATAAATTTGTTTGTTCCAGCTGGAATGCTAGATACATTGGTGAAACCACCAGACACTACACAACAAGGATTTAGATTCAGATAAGGCTTCCCATATTTACAAACATCTCAATTCATCATAAAAATTCAACAAATCCTGATTGGTTTTCCATTATTGACAGAGCTTCCTCCAAATATAAACTTAAAATTAGGGAAGTTATCCATATTGAGATGGAAAAATCTCTTTTTAATACACAATTAAAATCATATACTATTACTATAACAATAAAATTTCTAAATTATCTTTTTATTCCATATTTTGTTGGTTATTTTACTTCACACCTTTTGTATAATCTTTTGTAAAATCCTATGGTAAATAAGTTTTTAATGTAGCCAAAAAAATTGTTTATATACAGAAATTGTAACTAATTTTTATACCTGATGATGACAATTGATATTGATGAAACATGTTGTCAAAAAGTTTTAAAAAAATTGTTATTTATTTGAAAATTTTATATATATATATATATATATATATATATATATATATATATATATATATATATATATATATATATATATATATATATATATAAAGTCATGGCGTTGGGGCCCTTATTAGTTATAAGTGTTAGAATTAAAAAATTTAAGTTAGTTCTAGTTTGTCTGATTGTTGGAGTTTATTAAAAAGTATTAACATTTACAAAAAGACAAATTGTTGATTTATACTGAATGCAATTTATTATAATTATACTAATTACAAGTAGTATTTATATTTTAGTAGATGATATAATATTTTATGGGTGTGATACAATCTTTTAGCAAATGATCTTAACATTGAAAATGTGAGCAAGCATGTTCACAAATATTAAGACATAAAAAATAATTATTAAGCTGGAGCAAATTATAGAATAAGTAAAGGAACAAAATAGCCACTTATTACTACTGAAACACGCTGGAATTCTGTATGTGATTCATTTGAAAAATATGTCAATAACTAAAGCATCATTTTCACAATGTTAGAGAAAAATAGAGGCTTGGATCCCAATATTGGTAGAAAAGTAAATGACATAGATAAAGCAAAAACAAAAGATTTATTTAAAATTTTAAAACCAATCGGGATCACTCTAAAAAAGATGCAAAGATATCAAACAAAAATATGTGACACTTAAAATTATCAAAGAGCTGATAAACATGTCATCGTTTTTATCAAATGAAAAAATATATATACTCTAAACTAGATATTTCCAGATTGTCAGTGATGACCATTTCCTTGCAAACACACTAGATTCTAGATATGTTTGAATATTAACTTTTGGGCTAATTCATGAAAATGTTTTTTTTTTTTTTTTTAACCCTACCTTCTTAATATATTGTTGTTGTTTTAATATTGTTAATCTTAATAAACCATATTTATCAAAACAGTAGTATATAATATATGAATATCTCTTATAATGTATTTATATAAGTATTTGCTTACTAGTTTTGCTTACTAGTTTTACTTTATAGCATACAGCTTTTTTGGAAAAAGATGATATAAAACAAAGAATAATGAAAAAAAGATTGCTCATGCTTAACCCTCAGTTGATGTAGCGGCACTCAGACTTTAAAATAGTCAATGTATGTACTGAAGCCCCCAGAAGCAAACTACTTCATTATGATATCGCCGTGCTTATCTAAACACGTGTTTATAGTTGTGTTTATATATATATATATATATATATCTGTGTGTGTGTTTGTGTGTTAAACTAATTTTAAGTTACATTTGTGTTTAAAATGATTAACCATATCAATGGACACACTATTCCAACACTACAGTGATGACTTTTTTAAAACCTCGTTTCTCTGCATCATAATTTGATGAGCTTGCATTAAAGATAAGATAAAATTGAACTTTCAAGGTGATTTGGTAAAAAAATATCACACACAAAATGATTCAAAAAATTTTATTAGCTTTTTTGCCTAATTTATGAGTTCCTTTTAAGCACTTACAAAATTAAATGCAAACTTCAGAGTCATGTATATGCAACATTTAATAGGTTCATCAAACACAAAAGGAAGTCAATTATTTACGATAATGTCATTGGACAAGATGAATGTTAGTGGAAAGTTGTCCTTGTTGTGGCATGAGTCATACAGGTCTTGCAAAACTTTGATTGCACAATCACAGCACTGGCTTCTTCGGGCGATTTTGAGTGGAGATTTTCCAGTGTTTTTGCAAACATTTGAGACCTTTTAAATAGTCGATCTTAATTTCTTTGGCTTTATTCTTGAGGATCACTGCCAAATATTCAAAGCCATTAATGTGTTTGCCGTCAAAGTGTATGCTCCATCTCATCTTCTTTACACAACCATTTGGCTTTAACCTTAGTGATGTCAAATAGTTCATTCAATGCATTAAAATTTTGTTTCTTTCTGCAGCACTCATATTTTATTAAAAGTTTTGTTAATTTTGCACAAATGACTTTATAAGATACATTGAAAATTTCAATGTTTTGCTCCATTGTGCTTTAAGCTCAATAACACACTCAATTACACTGATTCTTCTCTTTGTTCTTTAGCGGTGGATTCAGGAAATTTGAAGCATCCAATGACTCCTTTGACTCAAGAATGCTATGTAAATTACCATTTTGCTTCTTCTTGATGGCGCTTGAAACTGGATTAAGTTCTTTGTCCAAGTATTCTTGTTCTTCTCGGTATTAAAACAGCTCTTTTTAAATGACATGTTATATTCTACTCAGCAATTGAAATAGAAAAGGATTTTAAAGAAATATTAAACACATAACAAATTAAAAAAACTGTTACTGAGTTTTCATATATTTATTTAAAAACAAGTAATTCGAAGTTTATTTTTAAATAAAATATATGAAGAGTCTTTTGAAAGCACAATTTTCTATGATATTATAAAAAATTCCAAACAATTCTCTCAGCGCAGTATCTGAAAATTTTTAGGGGGTTTTGTTTTTGTAAAACAAAGAAGTTTAGAGTAAAAATTAAATATTTTGTTTGATTTTTATAACAATATCAGGGCGTGACAAATTGACAAATGTGCGAACGTTTATTAAAAAAAGACAGAAAAACAAACGCCACGTTTCCTTACTTTTACTTAAGCAAATGTTGGCGTTTGCCTTAAATTTTCAAAAATGAACACATAACTTTTTTCCCCAAATAATTATGCCATTGATAGTTTTTTATTTATTATTAAAAAAAACATATTTATTATAAAAAAACAAAAAGTTATTAAAATTTAAAACGCATTTTCAACAACTTTAAAAAAAAACCACCCTAATACTTTCTTCAATAGGGTTACTTTTAAGTTTAATAATTAAGTACGCAACTGAAAAAATTATGTTTTATTATGGTTTTTACATGCATTTTTACATAAGTTACAAAAGCAAAGAAAATTTTGAAATGAATGCGCTTGCAATTACTTTAAAAGAAACCATGCTAAAACATTGCTATCTTCAACAGCTTCCTTTTTTTTTTAATTTTCTTGTTATCGTTAAATTAAAGTAATGTGTGCTTGCCCTTTTTAAAGTTTTGAAAAATTTTTTTTTTAAATTTGCAGAAATATAATTTAATAAAATATATAGAACTGTTATGTTCATTATAGTTTTTATTTTTTACTGTGCGTTTAACAACACCAATGATATGATATATCATTACTAAATACTTAGTACTATAAATATAATAATATCATATTAAGCATTTAATAATAACTTATCAAATACTTAATATTATATTATTTTTAAATGTTTTAAAAAAGAAATGTCAAAACAACATTTATTTTATTTTTAGTTACCTTTTATTTATATTTCTTTAAGTTTATACATTTTTTTATAAGTAAATAAATTTAACAAATTAAATTGAGAAAAGTTTACTATTTTGTATTAATAGATAACAGTTGACAGTCATAAGGTTCTTGGATATTAGTTAACATTAATTTGCAAATGCATGAACAATTGTTTTGAATTAATAAAAAATGAATAAAATTCAATGAGCATCTTTGATAAACCTAATTACACAGGTCAACAAAAAAAAATTTTTTCTGTTGCTGAGCAAACAATTAGTTTTTTTTATAGCATTTCTCATTTTGATTTTAAATATGCAACTCATTTTTCACCATCACGTCAAGTTGTAAAGATATTTGGGTTCAAATCTTTAGTATTTGGTGTAAAGTCCCTAATATTGTTGAAAAAAAAAGTTATTTAAAAGTATGTCAACCTGGGTCTCAAAAGAAGCATATTTTCATAGAGATTTAAGATAACATAAATATTTTTCCTTAAAACTTATTGATAAAAAAAATTATGTTAAAAAAATGCATAGGACTCAAAAATTGTAACAAAATGTTTTTCAGCAATAATACAAAAATTACTTATTTTTTATTACAAACGAATAACATTTTTGAAATCTCAATGAAAATATGCTTCTTTTGAGACCCAGGTTGACAAACTTTTAAATAACTTTTTCCTCAACAATATTAGGGATTTAACTCCAAATACTAAAGATTTGAACCCAAATATCTTTAAAACTTGACTTGATGGTGAAAAATGAATTGCATATTTAAAATCAAAATGAGAAATGCTATAAAAAAAAACTAATTGTTTGCTTGGCAACAAAAAATTTTGTTGACCTGTGTTATTTTATCTTATTAACTAGAATAAAAGTTATTTGAAATTAAAACTCCCTTATAAATGAATAAAAAATTATTCGAATGGAAAAAAAAAAATTAAAATTAAAAGAATTAGAAATAAAAGGCCTATAGAAAAAAGTAGAGAGGGGGGCACACGCCCCCCCTCCTCCTTCTGTGTTGTCGGCCCTGTTATTTGACATTTCACTTAAGTTATATGTTCGTTAATAAATAAAGAAGCAAATGTCAACATTTATTTAAAAAAAAAACGATTTGTCACATCCTGAAAATTTGCATGTAACAAAAAGCACTTAGTACAAAAAGGGGAGTTGATCGCACTCAACGACTCCCCTACAGTATGAGCCTGTCTCTATAATAATATGTAATATATAAATTGTTATACAAGTTGGTTTAATGACTTATACTATACATAAATATTGTTAAAACAAATATATATAAATGCTAAAATAGCCAATATTACATTTCAAATTGGTTTGTGCGTGACCTTTTCAATATTTCATTGGAATGAAGATCATATTAGTCATTAACAGGCAAAATTCATTGTTTGATATGGTGAGTGTTTACCAAAAGTATGAATAGCTTGTACTAATAAGTTTCTGGAGTGTAAAATTTAAGGAAATTTAAATTTAAAAAATAGTAATAATAAATTTAAAAGTTAGAAAAACATAGTGTGTAAGCTAGATTTTTTTTTATCTGGCTACATGCCTAGCCAATAGCTACATGCATCGCTCTTGGTTTTTTTTTTCTCAAAAGTTGTTTTTTTTAACTATAATACTATTATAAATCTTATTTTATTACATTTTTCAGTCTTTAAAAAATCATTAATTATTTCTTATAAGAACATGTATGGCATATTGTTTGGCTACAAAAAAATGTTTTACAAATTGTTTTTCTGTCATATAAATTTTAACTAAAAATTGTTAATCTATTCTATAAAAAAGTAATATAAATTGTACAATTTTTACACAATTATACAATAATTGTGTAAAAACTTTTTGTCAAATATTTAACAATATTTTTTTATATCTTTTCTGTTTGCAGTGTTTTACAAGACCATAAATGTTTTATTCAAAGTTTTAATGAAATCAGTACTATTTTGTGTGCTGTTAAATTATGCAATATTCCGTATGATCTTAAAGAGAAAATTAATGTGTGGCTTAGTCAGTGGGACAAAGGTTCTAAGTTCACGGATATCTGTGATCCTTCTTCAACAATTGATTTAGCTATGAAAAGTTTTCATGGTAGTCTTTTGGAAATTGATGAAAAGAAAAGAAAATGTTGTGATGTACAGTAATTTTTATCTTTAATATAATTATACTTTACGAAACCCATTTATTAAAATTCTTTGTTTTTGGATACTTTATTCAAACGCACTTACATATAAAATTTTCTGATTAAACTTGCATAAGTTGTTTAAGTTTAACCATGACATTATCATATGAAATATATGTAATCGTAGTTAAACTAGTATCTGTTATACACCAAAATAGTAAAATACAAATTTATTTGCCATTTTTTCGACTCAATTTTTTTCATTTTGTTAATTTTATTCATCTAATAACTTTTTAAATTGTTATCCTCTGTTATATTGTATTTAAAATTTACTTTTAAGTATTTCAAAAGTTGAATTTAATTAAAGAATGATAAAGTTTTATTACTTGCTGCTTTCTAATAGTGGCTTTAAATTTATTGAAATATTATTGACAAAAAAAATTTGTCATTATTTTGATCAAATATTTGTAATGTTAAAAAACTGTTTAAAATTAACTGATATCAGAAGTTAAACCTTTTTTTTCTTTTTTTACCCAAAAATGTAAAAAAAAATATGGTGCCTGAAAGTTAGTTTTAATAACTCCCATTATCAATTTTAATTCCACCATTTAAAGGGGAGTATTGGTGTCTTAAGAGCTTCACAAAGGTAAGGTATTTTTTACTTTCTTTTTAGAGTTTGAGAATAAGTGACCCTCCTCCCCCCTATATCATTTTTTTCTGAGCAATGCTTACTATGACTGGCTATTACAGACTTATGTTTGTTGTTTAAACTTTTTACAGACTGATGTTTGCCCATTGTTTAAACTTTTTAGATTACAGACTTATGTTTGTTGTTTCAACTTTTTACAGACTGATATTTGCCCATTGTTTAAACTTTTTAGATGTTGCTGAGTTCAAGTTCTTACTTTTTACTTTATCTTACATATACTTTTATCTTTTTTTTTTTTTTTACATTTTCGAACATTTGCATTTAATTAAATAAGTTCCAGGTTGGCTGTTGTAGTTCCAGGTTGGCTGTTTTAATTCCAGGTTGGCTGTTGTAATAAATATTTGGTTTTGGATATTCTTTAATTAGGATTTGATTTAAAAATTAAAAAAATAAAAGAGATAACAATGGTATCTATTTTAATGATGATGTAGGAAGAGCAATCAAAATTGGATTGAGGTTTTTAAATCAAATGCATTTCTAATATTCATATTTTTTATCATTAAACTCATATCATGGCATAGTTTATAAGCCACCATATTGATTTAGAAGTATAAAATGCATCATAATGAAATTCAACTATTATAGTTTTAAGTATTTTCCAAAGGAAAAAATTGTGCTGTACCAACCTCTTGTTGTCTACAAATTATTGTAGACAAGAAGAGGTTGGTACATTGGCCAAATTATTTAAAGTCTCGATTATTGGCCAAATTATTTGAAGTCCCAAGATTAATGCTGAAAGTAAATTCAGTTGAAACAAATCACATTCAATATTGCATAACTGCTTTCTGGCTTGCTCTTTAGGCAAAGACATCTTTTGTTGATTTTTTTGTATTCCAGAGAGATTATCAGAAGCATAAGTGGAAGCTTTTAATATAGAATAAGTTTAGAAATTTTTTAGTGGTTGCAAAAAGGTTGATCTTAATATTGATGTACTTATTTATACTTTAGTAGTATCAGTACTGACTTAATTATAACTTTGTAATATATAATTATTTACAATTCAAATGATATAATAGTTTGCTGTTGATATCATCTACTCCTGCTAAGGTTTTAATAAAAAAAGACACAAAACAAGTTTAAAAATTAATCTCTGAGAACAGTCAACTGCTATTTTAATTTTGAAGAGGAAACGTTATGATTTCTTCAAATTTCTAACAGAAATCTTTTTGTGTTGTAAATTGAGTTAAATTGAACAAGATATATTTATAGACTATTTAAAAAATTTCACTGTCAAAAGATTGAACAAATGTTTAGTTTATTTAGTTGGGCATAAAAATTATTAGTAAATATTAAGTTTAATATTTACATTCTTTGCAATGACATTAAGTTTAATATTTTCATTCTTTTGCAAATGGAGAATGTTTTTATTTAACGGCAAAAAAGGAAAGAAATGATATGGAGGAAAAAAAATCAAAATACCATTTTAAAAATATCAAATTATAAAACAAAATGAAGTAAAAACAAGATCAAAAGATATAAACAAATAAAGATAAAAAGCAAGTCAAAATAACGTACCAAATAGAAAAAAAAGATTTGTTAAAAGAAAAAATAGTTTGAAAATGTAGAGTTAAAAAAAAAAAAATATGAAATGAATTACGTTAGTTTACCAGAAACAATAATGTCATTAAAAAAAAAGAACAAGAAAAAACTTTTAAATTTTGTTTAGTAAATATATTTTTTATATTGATGTGTATTTTTATTGTTATATTTACAAGTCGTTTATGCATTTAATGCATTTTTTTACTTTTATTAACCTTAATTTTATGTATAATAAGTGTTTTTTTGTTTATATTTTCTTTATTTGTTTATTATACACACAATATATTTTTGTTATTATATTATAAAAACTAAAATTATTATATTTATCGAGTCTTTGTAGTCTTTTATCAATAATCGTTTTTATGTCATCGTTATTAGTTCGTTTTGTCAGTTTATTACTGTTTGTAACTCTAACTGTGTATATATAATTGATTGTTGTATGGAAGATTGTATTGATTTTGATCCTTTAGTTACTGGTTTTTATAATTTTTGTTGACGTTATTAATGAACAGCCTTCTATTAAATATTTATTTAACAATTCCGTTATATATGTATTGTATTTATTATTATCATGTTTTTATTTTATTCATTATTATTGGGTGTTAATTATACTTACTGGTGATATTATTATTGTTATTCTTATTATTATACAATTAATTATTTTTATTATTGTTGTTTTTGTTAATTTATTGCTATTTTTATTATCACTATAACTATATGTGTCTATAATATGTTTTATATCATCAAAGAGGTTTTTACTTTAAATTAGTTTTTATAACTATTTGTAACGACCGTAGAAGTTAGATCTTTTTTTCTAGAATATATAATTGATTGATTGAATGATATAAGTAATATGTCATTAAAAATACAAATATTCTACCCAACAATTATTGTTTGCAACTTCCGGATAAATACTATATCAAAATAAAAACACAAAATGGATAGAGACTTTTTCAATATAACACTTTTTACAGTTCTTCAGCCTCTTTACCTCAAAGGTTTATGCAAAACCTTATTTCACAAACAAAGGTAGGAATTATCTAATAGTATTTTCATATCCAATACATTGAAGTGGTTTGAAGAGATGGAAATTCTTGTCCAACTTGATTTTAAATTCATTATTTAACTTGATACCCCAAACACATCAAAAACTAATAATGACAGCAAAAAAATAACTCATTGATGTGTGTATGGTGTGGTATAGGCGGATTCCAATGTGTGTCATAAATGGACATGTAAAATCATTAACATGTAAAATAACCACCTTTTTACATTATTGAAACTGCCCTATAAACACTTGGGATAAAAGTGTTTATAGGGCAATTTCACTAATGTAATTAAAACCATAAATGTTTTAAAATTAAATCTTTCATGAAACCTTTTTAATGGATTTGTACTGAAATATATCAACAACCATCTATTTCAATATGACACTATCTATTTTAATATGACACCATAAGTGGTAAACAGATACTGTTTAAAAAAAGCATCTTTTTATAGATTTTCTAACAAATTTCTAATACTTGTAAGAGTTGTTATTTTCAAATATTTTATTTATCTGACTTTTAAAATCAAGTTTTTTTTTTGGTGCAATCAAATAGTGTTTGGAAGAAATTTCATTAAGTTTTTGACTTAAAATTTTCATAAATATCATATTTTTTTTTTTTTAATGTCTTTGCAACATAACTATTACTTATCTGTTGTCAAGTTCTAAATATTTCTCAAATTTACTTTATTTTTATTCAAAATTAATCATTTTTTTCATAAATAAAATTAAAAATTTTAAAACAATAGTTATATGCTGCAAATATAGAATAAAGTTTTTCATTAATTGGGTTGATTTTTAATGAACATTAATTTGAAAATTTTTTATTTTCTGTTTTTTTAATAATTAAAAAAACAATATAATTCATTGTAAATAATTTAGTGTGAAAAGACATCACTTAACTTAAAGCATATTCTGTGCATGCAAAAAAATGAGCTTGAAGAAATGCGTACTGAAGTTAACATGTTTGGAGAAGAAAATGCAATCCTTAGATTGGAGTTAGACAAAATGAAAAATAAAAATGCAGAGCTCCAGGAGTATATATTAGAAAAAGAAATGAATAATCAAAAGGTGAACATTCAAGGTATTTCTGTTTAATATAAAAATAACTTTCTGTGTAATTTTTTTTTAAGTTTGCACCGAAGCATAAGATAAACATAAAATTAAAAAGTAAATAAACGTTACTGTCTGTAAAAAATACTTGTCAATCTGTTTATTTTTTAGTCTTTTTATTTTTCTATAAAAAGTTATTGCAAAATGTACAATATTTTAATGCCATTCATGTGGCAATGTTTTCTTTTAATACCATCGATGTGGCTAAAACTTGTTTAAAAAGTATGAAGTAAATATGACTAGTGATATACCAGAATTCTGGCCAAAATTTGTGACTTAGATCAATTTATTTCTGGTTAGAATTAAAAAAAAATTTTTTACATTTTTTTTTATGAAATGTGACTCTGAAATGTGTTTTGTTTTTTATGAAATGTGAAATGAAATGTGTTTTTTATGAAATGTGTAATTGTGCTGTGTAAATAAATCAAAAAATCATTATCCAACAGAGCAATGAAGAACTATAGGTAAACCTAGGTAAAAAATACAAATGTAATTTTATTTGCAAAAATAGTAGTACTGCAAAAATACATTTGCAAAAATTACATTAGTATTTTTTATCTAGGTTTACTTATACTCAATGCAACTAAGGCATAGAACAAACAAACTCGTAAAAAAAAGCCGATAGTTTTAAATCCGATTAGTTGTAGCAAACCTTTCTTTTCTTATGTGCTTTTATGGAAAAATCAAATCTATAGACTTATCTATAGCTAAGCCCCAAGGTACTCTATGTTGAAAATTGCATTTTTTCTAAATAAAACTACACTTGACGGTTTGTTATATTTGTATTAAATTTACCAGATTATAATAGTGGTTAAAATAATCTTTCCATACATACTAAATATGTCATACTTTTTGATGAAAAAACTTACATAAATTGTAATTGAAAAATTTGTTTTTGTACAGAAAAACGTGTAACAAATTTGTTTTTGTTCAGAAAAACGTGTACAGAAAAACGTGTAACAAATTTGTTTTTGTACAGAAAAACGCCTTAGTCACATTGAATAGTACTTCATTGTTTTGTAGGATAATCATTTTTTGATTTATTTACACAGCCTGTCACATGTCATAAAAAAATTTTTTTTTTAATTCCAGCCAGAAGCAAATTGATCTAAAAGACATATTCCGGCTGTAATTCAGATACATCACTAAATATGACTTTAAAATTAATTACAAGAAGGTTTTTATATGTAGTTATGATTATTTTGCTTTAAAAAAAAAAACTTTATATATTGTGGGAAAAAAATTAGTTTTATCTTTCATCTTAATTAAAAGTGTTAATATTTAGAAAGGTAAAAAGTAAAATCAAAAAATCTCTTTTAATGTGTAATTTGAATGTGTACTTATGATAAATAAAAAATTAGCAAAGTTTTCTTATAATTCTATTTAAAATTGATTTCGAAAAGGTTACATGAGTAAGCACCCATTTTAATAAAAAATGTTTATTTGTTTGTTATATATAAAATGTTGTAGTGGTAGAGCGCTCATCTCATAAGCAAGAAATTCAAAGTTCTATTTCCACCATGTCCTTTATAGAAACGCGCTCAACTTGTTTCTCTGTGCAGCAGCCTTTTTTTTATTTATTTATTGTCAAGGTTTGTGTTTTGGAGTTATAGAGTTGAGAGAGGGTTGTTACCACAATTAAAGTAGCCTCCTCAACTGTAGTAATGTCCATAGCCTAGGGATGTGAATTTACATTTTAAAAAATCTTTAAAAATATATACATTAATGATTATATATTAAAATAAGTATAAATAAAATTGCTGATATAAATTTATTTTTGAGTAATATTTTATTTAGGTTGTGCGGAGGTAGCTGTAGAAACTTCTAGTCAGTTATTATCTGAAGAACGTGTTTTACAGAAACTTTGTGCCATAAATTCAATGAGAATCTCACAAATGGATGATGCAGATTTTGTTGAACATGATGATGATATTGATGATGAGGAGGACAATGATGAAGAGCAAGAGTAAATATTTTTGTTTTAATAAAAAAAAAATTAATAGACATTAAATTCTGGTATAAAGAAATAACAGTGATGATACCAAACAGCGGTGATAATATCTAACAGCAGTGAAGGTTTCTAACAGTGGTAATGATAGATATCAGCGGTGATGATATCCAACAAGAGTGATGATATTTAATATAAGTGATAATATCTATCAGTGGTGATAATTTCTAACAGATTGGTGTTAAGATGAAACTTTATTTTACTTTTTTCAATTAGTAATGAATTATTTTTAATATTATTTTTATTTTATTTAGAGAGTCTATTATATCTTATGAAGAATCAATATCTCAAGCCAAGAAATATTTGTCAAATATACCTCGACCTATAAAATATTTAAAAAACCAAGTTTGTATTTTTCTCAAACTAATCTTTTGTTATTATTTTTAATTGTTAAACATCCTCACCTAATCTTATTACCTTTGTTTATATTTTAAGTTCCTCTGTTAAATTTTATGTATTTTTATTATTATAGAATAATCCTTCACCAACCAAATTCCAACATAATATGTATATAAATCTTGAAAAAAGAAAGAATTCAGGAATTAAAGAATCGGAGAAGCAGCAAAGGGAGTTTCTTAGTGAAATGAAGATGTTGGAACATAACATAAAGTTTGTTATTTCTTTTTAAACATATTAAATCAAAACCACTAACTAGTCTTATTGGTTGAAAACTACTATCTTGGTTGAAAACTATTATGTCAGTTAAGGGTCATTCTGTGTCAAATCAACTAAAAAAAAAAATATTTTGACACCATACCATCTTGGATTTTGCTGTAAAATTTTGGAGTAAAAGCTTAAATTAATGAAAAACTTCACTCCAAATTTTAGTATGAAAGAAAACTTCACTCCAAATTTTAGTATCAGACTTATGGTTTTAGAGATATTGATACTCGGTCCTAATCTCTTTTTTGACTTTTTTTTTCAGCGCCATTTATTTTTTAAGCTCATTGCGCAACACAATTACCTTTAACTTATGAAATACTTGTTCAATAGTGATGAAAATTTCTATCTAACTACTTTTTAAGGTGAGGAACTCAAACATCATGACTAAAACGATAAAAAATTTAAGCTTCTATATAAATATTCAATTTCAAAATGTTGTAACACTTTTTGTAAGATTTTTGCCTCCTACAAAAAAAAAGTTTATCTCGAGATGCCTAAATGATATGATTTTGAAATTTTTTCCTAATGTTCTATATGTAACAAGCTCCATAATACAAAAAATCTGGAAGGGTTTTCTTTTTTAAATCAAATTTATTTGCATTCAAAGTCTTATATATATAAAATCAAAAAAATATTGAAATTACACTAAAACCATGGAAATTATTAAATTGCAGTAAAAAAAATAAAAACTAAAAGATAATAAGAATTAACAATCTTTGACATTTAAAAAAAATAAGAATTAAAAATCTTTGGCAGATAACAAATTAGTTCTTTCTTCAATGGTGATGGTGATCTTTGATCTTTGAAATTGATCTTTGAAATTGATCTGGTGATCAATTTTACTGATTTTGTATTGTCTTCCTGTAACAGTTGTTGGAATATTAATCATTAACAATAAGTTTGTTGATGGAACCTAGCAAACATCATCTCTAGAAGGCCAATAATATGACCTTGAAGGGTAACATAGGTGCATGAAACTAACTTGAAAGTCTTTATTTTCAACATTAATTTTCTCAACTAGTCCGATCCATGTATTGTTATCATATATCTAACATACAAACACACCAATGTTTATATTAGACAAGAATTCTTTAATAATCTCATCAGTTTGAAAATTAAAAACAAATGAATTCTCCAATTGTTCAGAAATAACTTTAGTTCCAATTTTTGTGTTATTTATTGGAACAAAATTGTGATAGCTACCAGTGCCTGTTAACGTTTATGCAGTTATATATCGTTTCTCCATTTCACTTCGAATTATCCTGTTTGACTCCTTGAATATGTAATAAAAATTAATTCCTATGATTTCATTTTGGAAAAAGTTTAACATTGCAGATGCTGTAAGAATTTAATTTGTTGTTGTTTGATCAAGGTTAGCAATTGAAGTTAGTGTTTTTACAGTCTCACCAATACCATCACAGGGTGATTTACCATGACTTGTTGCAAAGAAAGACCAGGTACATTTCATAGCAAAATCTTGTTCATGGTGGCATATATTTACAAAGTGTTTGTAGTTCTTGTGCTGGCCAGTACACCCATCTGAAAAGTAATGGACCCTTTCTATTTGATAAGAAATATTGCTTTTAACATATTCAATTGTTAGCTTCATCACATGCTAAACCATATCAACGTCAGGCCTTGTAATGAATAAAAACTGCGCGACGCATAAGCAAGACGTGACTTTTGACATCATTAAATTCTTTTTATTTGCTTTTCATATTTATTGACATTAACTGCACCAATTTACATAATTACCAAAAAACTACTTTAAATCATTAATGTAGAAATGTTATTATTTAAAAATGTTTTGGAATGTTTCGTTTTTTAAAATGTAAAAACATTTGTTTATTTTCTCGATGTTTGACACGTTTTGTCTATACTAAACGAATAAAAAACATTATAACTAAACATTTAAAAAAGATTATAAAAAATGCTAATATTTGATTTTTTTTTTCTCAAATATCTAATTTAAAGTTTTTCAAATAATTTTTTTTTTTTAAAAAAGTCAGCGAATAATAAACTGGAAATTTTAATATTGTACGATTAAAAACTGTGCAATAGCTGATATTTTTACCAGCGATTTTATATAATATTTTCTTATTTATTTTTATGTATTTTCATAAAGTGGTTAATAAGCACAATCATCGTATTACTAAAAAACTTTAACAAATATTTTGAATAGATTTTTAATTTTTACAAGGAATTTTATTTCTAGTAAAATAAAATCTACTTGCACTAGCAGTAGTAGTAAAACAACTTTTTTTTTTTTTAAGAAAAAAAATTAATGCACGTTTTATATATGTCCTCATGTAGATATACTTTATATTTTAAGTTTTATGAAATGGCTTATGATTACTGGTTGCAAATTAATTTTTATTTTATTTTTTACGTTTATTGAGCCTTTTTCAGGGTGTTTGTGGAAATTCGCTTTATATCGGTAGAAACCAGTAACAAAACCTGGTTATATAAACTTATTAAACTATTGACGTTCTATTTTTTAGCAGCTGTTTTTGAGCACGCTTGGTTGAGTTTCGGTAACTTTTAACAAAAAAGCGATTGTTATTATTTAAGTAATTTTTTTTTGAGTTAGTTTTTACAAAAATTTTAATAACTGTACTTTTTTATTGAATCAAGTAGAATAGGTTTAAATATTAATCCTTTTTTATTTTTTTATTTGCACTTACCAATTTTTAAAATGTTTCTTCGAAATTACTCTTAAATACTTTAAATACGTCTAACAGTTAATAGATATTTTTAAATCTATGGAATAATTTTAAAACCTAACAAACCTCCGTAAAATAACTATTTAAGTTAAAAATCTAAAACTAAAAGAAAGTATTTTTGTTCAATTTTATCGACAACTTTGCTATTGCTGAATAATTTTATTAAAATGTTAGCTTAAAAAGATTTAAACTTTTTTTTTAATCTGAATTTTTTTCTACTTGTATATAATGAGCATATTTAATTTTTTTGTAATTCAAACTTTTATATCAACAGCGTGCGGTTTTTAAAATACTTTATTAAATGTTAAAATAATCCTAAATTACTTCATTAAAATTTCGCTCAAAAATATCTTTAAATATACTCAAACAAAAAATTTTTTGCTCGACGCAAATAGCCCTAGCTACACGCAAAATCGCTCTTGGACGACGCAAAATTCACATCGTCCAACGCTTTATTGCAAGGCCTGCAACATCATGCAGTAAATCATCTGAGATGAAACATATTGAATTACATTTGAGGACATTATTCTCTTTTTAATAAATTACTGTTGGATGCAATGTTGCTTGAAATATGTTCCAGTGAAAACTTTGTATTTCGTCTTGTACAACAAACTTGTAATTTTCTGAGAAATAACAAAGGGCAATGACCTCAGTACTACTTAACTCATTTTTCAACTTTCTTATAGAAGCAGCTTGACTTTTTGCAATGTAAAAATGAACAATAAATTTTTGTAACTTATTTTTCAAAGTATTAATAAAGCTACTTGTCATTTCTGTTAGACTTAATAGCTCAGATCGGTCTGTTGTTTTCAATTGTTTGTAATCTATACAATAATCATCATCTTCACCAATATCGTCTTGAGAGTAAAACACATTTTCAAAATAATGTGCTAATGTAGAATCTTCTGGGCATAAAGGGCAACGATGTATTATGCAAGTCTTGTTCGCCCTACTACAAACAAGCATATCAATAAGCTCGTGATAATCCTTTGATAATTCAACTGCACTAATCATTAACTTAACATTTTGATGGTAGGTGCACACACATACTGTATGCGTACCAGATGCTCCAACTGCAATGCACCATTTTGGACGATGTGAGCAAAAGTTAGAAAAACAGCTTTTTATATCTGGATAACAGGTTTTAAACTTTGCATATAGCTCTTTTAGATTTGAAAGAATCAAACACTTTTGCATGTGAGATTTTCGAGCTATACTAACAAAATCTTTTTTACCAGACATTAGCTATTTTATATCATTACAATAAAATTCAATAATTTTATCTATTGTTTCTTGAGGTATTTCCTTTCGTGTTTTTTTTTTTCAGGAAAAGATGAAATATCATTTTTCTGCAGCAATTTGCTTGATAACTGCACCATATAATTAGTAACATTAAATTCTTTTTCTATATCTTTGTTAGACTAAGAAATCGGAACCAGTGTTAGTAGTTGAATTTTCTGATTACAATTGGAAATTAACATTTTTTTTTTGATTTTTCTTATAAGTATATCCATGTCATTTGCTTTAACTTCCTTAGATAATTTATTGGAGGAATCTTCTTGGCTTAACCGTTTAGGATCTATATTTAAAGTCCTTGCAATACTTAACTTTACTGTTTTTTAAACGTGTAACAAATTTTTTTTTACCAAGAGCAACTCTTGAGTGACTATTTACAGCATGCATTTTGAGAGGACTTTAGTTCATAGTCGTCAAAAAAGAATTAAAATTTTTTTAAACAATTCATTTATATTAAGTTCATTATCTTCAGCTACAAGTCGGATCTCTTTGCCTGGTTCTCATTCTTAAATGATGTCAATTTAATCCTATATGAGGGACATATCTTTTCTCCAGGAATAACATAATTACCAATATTTTTTAATTTCTCAGCGAGTTGCATATTAATTTCTTTACATTTTCCGAAAAGCATGAGTGATAATTACTGCTTCAGTGAGTGCTTCATGGTGTAGGCAAACCGTTGCATTTTCATCAAATTGAATGCCAGAACAACTAATTATCATGTCTTTTTCCACATCATTAAGACTTGAAACTTTCTTGATATCATGGTATTTTACATATCTTTGATTGTTACAAATTTATTTATTTATTATTCCAATTGAACATCTTTCTTTATCATTCATATTGTTATATTATTTTTTAGTTCTGTAAGAAACAATTTTAAAATTATAATTGTTTGAAGATTTGAAAATAGAAAATCTTTTAGCTATTAAACTTTTATGTGAAATGCAAACAAGTTTATATATTAGAACTGTACCTTAGACAGCAAGATTCTAAAATATTTTTAAAAAATGCAAAAATTCTATGCAAATTATTTTTTTTCATTATTAAATATCAGTTTTTCTTAATTTTTAAATAAAACTTTAAACGCAAATAAATCTAATTTAAAAAAGAAAACCCTTCCAGATTTTTTGTATTATGGAGTTTGATACATATAGAACATTAGAAAAAAAATTACAAAAAGTGTTACATCATTTCGAAATTAAATTTTTATATAAATTTCGAAATTATTTTGTGTGTGTTTTAGCCATCATTTTTAAATTCCTCACCCTAAAAAATAGGTAGAAATTTAGACCACTATTAAACAAGTATTTTATAAGTTAAAGCTAATTAGATGGTGCAATGAGCCTAAAAAATGGCGCTAAAAAAAAAAAGTTAAAAAAGAGATTGGGACCAAGTATCAATATCTCTAAAATTGTAAGGAGTCAGACACTAAAATTTAAAGCAAAGTTTTCTTTTATTAATTCAAGCTTGTATTCCAACAATCAGCAAAATCTGAGATGGCATGGTGCTCAGCATAAATTGAATTGAGCTGGAATGACCCTTAAGCGAAAATTGTGTTAGAGATTACAATATATGGTTTAAAAAAGATTTTTTGATGCTTTTCTACACATCAAAGTTTACAATAAGGTTTAAAAGTCCATTTGATTTTGAAATTGAATAGTAATAGTTTCACTGTCACTTTACTATATGCCTTCCTATTATCGTTGAACTTTATTATATAGCCATACAATGAACACACTTGGCTATATTGACATATTATTACCAAAAAACAATGAAATATTAGGTGTACATTAGAGTTGTATTTTAGAGTTTTTAAATACAATTTAATATTGTTGGCAATAAATCACATTCAGGTTTGTATAAGGTTTAAATTAATGAAATATAAAGTTATAATCTATTAAATCTTTATTTGAATTATTAATTTCATACCCTGTACATGTTTAGTTTCAATATCAGAAACTGTACAGGTTTAGATTTAATGTCATGCACTGTACATGTTTAGCATTAATGTCATACACTGTACATGTTTAGTATTATAAAACTTTTTAAAAATTAGTTTTATTGTGTTAGTTTCAAATTTGTTGAAGACTATAAAGATTCATTCAGTTTGGAAAAATTTAGGAAACAAATCTTCCTTTTTCTTTTTTGTGTATAATAAATTTAAAAACTTAAAAACTCTGTTCTTCTCAGATTACCATTTTCTACTGATTGAATTATCACTTGTTCTATTAACCAAAGCTCAATCTTGCATGACTGCCATTCTGCAAAGTCATTTTTTTTTCTGTAACTGATGATTTCTATTCATCTAGATTTTTCCTCAAACATTTGAGATATGGAATTTTCTCCTATATTTATGTTTTCCTGATTCCTATAATTTATAGTTTCTTAAATTTTCAGTCAACTAATTTTTTATTCTTTAATTATTTTGTTTATATTCGTACTTCGAACAGTGATTGCTTCCAGTCTCGTTGGCAGTAAATTTATTTTAAAAAACATATTTCATAAAATAGGTCCAGCGCATCTTTATTATTGCGGTTGATTGCAGTCATGTTGGGAGAAAATTTTAAAAAGAAAAAAATTTAAAACATAATTCAAAATTATGTCCTAAGCATCTATAAAGTTATCTATATTTTGGATGCAACGAAATACACTAAATTAGGTAAAAACGTTTGCTCCTAGTTCTAACATTTTAAACTATTCCTGAGATCAATGCCCTAGCTCTGCTCTGATCAATGCCTTAGCAATAGTCTGCTATCAAGTCAGTCTACTAAATATTTTATTAACATTAATCTAATAACAAACTTTTTCGTTTTTGATTTGCATTTAGCAAAAGTTAATGTTTCATTTAAGTAACAAAACCTGTAAGCTTCGGCTTTAACTAACTTTTTTGTTTATCAGGCAAAAAGAAATTTTAATTAATGAACTGTTGCTAAGTGAAAAAGAAGCCAAGGAAACAAGTGTTGTATACAAAGAAAAGTTAGACAAGCTTGAAATAGATTATAATATTGCAAATGATGAGCTTTTAAAAGTAAAACAGAAGATTGATGAAGTTATTTCTCTTGATGACGATAAACATAAAAAAAAGTTGGAAAATGATTATAATAAAAAATTGCAAATCCTCGAAAAAAAATTTGCCACTTTAAAAAAAAAAGAATCTGCTTATGATCGATTTATGGACATACAATCTACAAAGGAGAAGAAGATTAAAGAGCTTGAGTCATCGATGGTTCGAATGAAAAACCAATATATTGAAATTGAGCGCCACTTAAAATCTGAGTTAGAGAGAGTTAATAATATTGAATTTGAACGACGAAAAAGTGAGCTGCGAATCAAAGAGTTAGAAAAAGAAACTAACCAACAAAAAAAAATATTAAAAATAAAAAACGAAGAAGTGGCAGCTGCCCAAAGAAAGCTTAGAACTTCATCAGGGGGAAATATGACGTAATTCGTTTTATATTTTAATTTTTCATTAATTTTTCATTAACTCAGATAAAATAAAGTTTGTTTTCACTGTTTTCATACTTTGCTTTTTATTAGATCTAGACACTTAGAGTTAGAAAAGAAGCAGGTATGGCTTGATGCTGAGATAGAAAAAATAATAACGAAACAAAAAGAAATGAATCTTCTAGAGGCTGATTTAATTGAACGTGATGTAAGTTTAAGGAAAAGAGAATTATTGTTATCCGAGAAAAAAGAGTTAGAAGAAAAGAAGTTTGAATCAAATCAAGAATTGTCTAATGTAAAATCTTTTTTGTTATTTTAATATTTTTATGTAACCACTATTTGTTTGTATAAATGCTTTATATAATTATTATTTATGTTAATAAATAATTAAACAGTGTTTTATGTAATTGTGGTTTTCAACTAATATCATTAGACAGGATGTTTTTTTTTAATACTGATTTGATTTTTTTCCAGTGTTTATTGAGATTATCTATTCAAATGGAAACAATCGATGAACAAATACAAAAAATATCTCCTTCTGATACGAATCATTTGCATCAGTTAACTTCTATGAAAGAAGATCTTATACAACAAAAATTAGCACTTGAACATTCAGCGCATGATTTCAATGGTCTTGATGCTGCAGAGCAGCGTCGATTAATTGAACTTAGTGAAGCACTTGATGCAGTCGATGAAGCCATAAAATATAAAAACGATTTAATAAAAAAAAATCAGACAAACATTGAAAGTATAGAATATCAAAATTATGTTAAAGTAGAGTATTTAATAAAAAGTATGGGCGACTTGGATGTAGACGAGTATAAGCATTTACTTGGTAAATTATTTTTGAAAATAATAAATTTACGCAAAATTTTAATGGAAACAGAAACTATGAAACAACAAATTGACATAAAAGTTAATTCTCAATCGAAAACAATACACGAGCTAGAAAGAACAATAAAGTTAATTGAATCTCGTTATGAGAACTTAATTATTGAACAAAATTGTAAACACGAAAACGAAGTACATTTTTTCATGGAGCAGCTTAAAAATACGGAAAAAGACATCAAAGTAAAAGATGCTAACATGTAAGAAACCAATTATTTTTTACTAACAAATTGTTTTTTACTAACCAATTGTTTTTAACCAACTAATTGTTTTTTTACCAAAAAATTGTTTTTTTACCAACCAATCATTTTTTGCCTTCAAATTGTTTTTTATCAACAAATTGTTTTTTACCAACAAATTGTTTTTTTTTACCAATATACAGTGTTTTACTATTTATGTTTTAGGCGAATTGCACAAGAGACAGAAAAACGTAACAAGTACTTGGAGAAAGAGCTTTATTACTATAAAGTTCAAGCAAAGAGATATAAAAGTCAACTTAAAGAATTTTTTAGTACAGTTCCCAACGATTCTGATTTGAAAAAAATTTCTAGGGATACAGAGAATAGTGATAAATTTCATTTACCTCCTGTACAGGATGCCGTCTTCTCTAAGGAAAAAAATGAAAGACGTTTAGATGAAAAAAGGTTATCGGTAAAAATCTGATCAAATTATTTTGCTCTTTTTTTTTTTTTTTTAATTTATTTCTTTTTTATTTATTTATTTCATCTTATATAATAAATTTTAGTATTAAACTTAAATATAATATTTTAGGAAATATTTGAAATGAAACCAGCTAACAATTTGTCAAGTAATCGGTTGATACAAAAATCAAGAGATTCGTTGGGATTTGTGAGAGATTCTCTGTGATTTATAGTTTTACAAATTAAAAACGTTTGTAAATTTTCTATAAATTATATTTTTATACAAATAGCATATTTATAAACAGTTAAAGTTTATCTAAAATATATTGCTTTTTAAATTTTGTTTTATTTCAAACTTTTTTTTATGTTGCATGTTTTTTAAATAGAAAAAATTATGTTTTTAATAAAGCTGGGTTTCAGTTTTTATAACAGTTGTTTTTATTAATTTCTTATTACATTTTTTAAAACCGCGTTTTGTTAGAGAATATAAATAAATGAAGGGTTTTCATCGTCACATTTTAACTAAATCTATTGTTACGTTTATTCTTCCATTTATGGAAAAATAAACAAGAGAAAGCTTTTGGTAAATTAAGAGAAAGCCTTTGGTAAATTAAGACAGAGTGCTGGTGGTGCCTTTATTTCTGCTCAGCAAGCTGTTAAGAAAATTCATATTCACCATGTTTTATTACTATTAAGATTTGATGCAGACTTTTATGACTGCTTAAAGCATCATTCTTGTGATGGATATCTTTGAAAGCTAACTGAAGAAGAGGGTGGGATTTTTTGACATATTGAATGATTTAGAAGAATCTATGAAACAAGACAGCAAAATGGGGTGTGTTTATTTTGCTGGATACATTGTTCACAAAACCGAAATGGATAATGTTGAAGATACTTTTATTTATTATGAAATGTATGGCAGTTACTTAGAAGAACTAAATAGGGAAGGTTTGAAACTTCCTGGTGATACTCTGTTTCAGTGGGTGATTTTCTATTACATTTTGTTTATGAAACTAGATTTTTCTGTTATAGTTTGTCGAAAATCAGTATCTGAATATTTTATTTCAATTAAACTAATTTATTTTTATCATGCTCTTCCAAAAATAAACATTTGTAGTAGAATCTTATCTAATATACTTTTAAATAACTATACAAAACTAGCTACTCCGCGTCCTTAGAAAAAACCTGTACAAAAAGTATTAAAGCTGCAATTAGAATAACGAAAAAAAAAAATTTTTTTTAATCGAGAATAAAATTAATATGATTTTGTGTTGTTGTTTTTTTTTGAAAAAAATAGTGTTTTAAATCAGCCTCCAGTCTTTTTCTTCGGTTGCACGATTGCAAGACCTGTTATTAAGATAGCCTTGCTGCAATTATTTGTCTGAGTAAATGCTTATCAAAGTATGTAATTTGCTAACATTTTTCCTCTCTAAATAATATATCAGCTAAACTAAGAGTGAATGGAAAAAAAAAGTTATGCTTGTCTTAAACATATATTAATATAAAAATTTGTTTTTTCATGCTAAATATTTTACATAAGTATAAAAATAACTACTTTTTCAAAAAATAAGCTGGTGAGATTAAACAATAAGCTGGTGTGATTAAACAATAAGTAAAAAGTGAACAGTTCAGCAATTTTGTTTCTTATTTATGGAAAACTTAAACGAAAAATCTCTAAATGGGGAGGCTGTATTGTAAAGAAATATTAAGTTTTAAGAATTATTTTTGTCTTTAAAAATTTGAAAGCCTCAGCTGAAAAAAAACTGGTTTTTTTAAAATCTCCTTCTGATACGAATTAAATTAATTTTCTCTCTTTAATCTCACCTAGTTCTTTTTATCTTGTCTTCGTTTCTTTCTTACTCTATAAAGATAAAAAAATTTCGATCTTTTTGATTTCTTGCAAATTTTTAAGGATTTGAAGAGAATCCCATCAAAGCTATTGTCGTTCGATCAGTGTCTGATATTGATTTTTATAGTTTATATTTCAAGTTCACTTTTATATACAGTATCGGACAAAACGAGTGCAACCAAATAATGCTAATTTAGTTTCTTTATATAAAAATGCTGCATTTTTTCAACTTAGAGAAATAACTGTTTAGAGACAACGCTCTTAAAGTTTTATTCATCACAAAGTTCATTATTTGTACACGAAAATTAATAAATTAATCAAAAGTATTGAAAAAGTTTATTTCCTTCTCGACAAAACAAGTGCAAAACCGTTTGCAGAAAAATACCCCCAGACCATTACATTGCCTCCACCATGCTTCACGATCTTATGGCAGTAACGTAAATCGAGACATTTTCCGGTTGGTCGACGTACACAGCAAACACCATCGCTCCCAATGATGTTGAACTTTGATTCATCACTGAACAGGATAGTTCGCCATTTCTGCACATTCCAGTCAATATGAGATGTAGGGGTCTTTTCATCTGGTTCTTTAGTGAAACCAGCGGTTTCTTTGCAGGGCGTCGAGAAAACAATCTGGCTTCAACAGCTCGTTGTCTGATTGTTCGATCCGATATATGCAGCTTTAATTGCTTTTGTATCTCGACTGATGATATCCAGGGATCCTTCTTGACGGATCTGAAGATCATAGAATCCTCTCTAGAAGTGGTGGAACTTGGTCTTCCACCTTTGTTATCTGCTGCCAACTTCCCCGTAGAACGATATTTGGAACATAGTCTTAATACAGTCCATTTTTTCACGCGATATTTATCACAAATACTTTTTTGTGACATTCCACATACGTAATTGCCAATAATTTTCTTTCTTAGTTCCAATCCAAGGCTGTCGGGAGCCATTTTTGCACTTGAAATCATAAAATTCTCTGTGAAGTCATAAAAATTTTCGAGCAGCCGTGGCGCAGTGGTTAGAGTACTGGCTCAGAACCCAGAGGTCCGAAGTTCGACGCCAGCTCCAGCCCAAAAAGCGACATTGGTACGGAAGGAGGCGTGAACTTCCTATTAAATACTCTCCCGCGATGCTCTATGATAAGACCGTAAGGACTTCTGGGAGCACCTAAATACATACAAAAATAAAAAAAATCTCTTTTGAAGTCATAAAAATCTCTGCGACAAGACCGTTAGGACTTCTTGGGGCACCTAGAATAACAAATTAAAATAATAATAATAAAAATAAGTAATCACGCTTCTCAAGGCTTACCGTGTTACATTTACCTGTGATGATACAACAATGCTCTGTGGAACATAACGTCTGGATACTTCCTTCAATTATTAAAAAACTTCCGTGACGTTGACACGGAGCAGACTTAAGAAAATGAAACAAACCCAAAAAAGTTGCACTTGTTTTGTCCGCTGCAAAATGGCTCTTGTCAACGAAATTCTGCCTGTGTGCTGTCACCTGTCAGCTGACTGCTTATGTCATGGCATGCTATGACTCCAGACTCCTGAACTGATTGCTGTGGTAGTATAGTTCGTTTTGTTTTTAAGACAAGTAAAATTAGGAACACTTTTTAGCATTGTTCGATGTTGGTTGCAAATGTTTTATCTAGTAGTGTAAGTAAAATTTATAAATTTGAATATTTTTGTTTTTTTTGTTTGTTTTGTATTTGTCTGAAAACTCTAAAAATATAATCACAATTACCTGTAGCGTTATCGCATTTAAGGTAGGATCGGTTTTTTTCTTTTTTGAAAAGTAGTTAAACAGTGGCTGGTACTTTTTCACCATTTGTCCACTGTTTATTTACGTTTGAAATTAAAATTGTAATTAATTTTATGTTCAAACAAAAAATGGCTACTCACCGTTAGCATATCTAGAAGATATGAAGTTTAGGAGTATTTTCATTTGTTGCCAAAAGCTGCAACGAGCAATATGTGCCACAACACGCACTATTACAAGACATTTAAAAATAAATACAAAATAAAGGTTCTCAAATGTATAAACATCAATAAAAATTAAATTAATAAAATAATAATTTAGTACATAAAAATGAAATATTTGTTAAACCCAGTTGTTTTAAATCAAGGTAATCAGTTTGAGAACAAAATAAAAAGAAATAATATAAATAATTTTGCAAACTATCTTATTCCAGCTTCGAGAGATAGACTCGGTATTAATAAAAAAGCCAAAAATGGCAACAATGTTATGAATTATAAAAAAGAATTTACTCTAGCTAAAGAACCGAAAATGTTTTATTAAAATATATGATTTTCAAATGGTATGATCTCGTCAAAGGGCTCTCTAGCCTTGGATTGTTTTCGCATAGAAAAATAAACTGGTTGCAGGATGATTGCATTTACTTTTTATAAAGAAATAAAAAGTCTATAATTAAATTAAAAGTTTTGTGTTTTGTTTGTACCCTTTCGTTTTCAATTTTAAATTAAATAAAAACAATTTTAAAAAGTTCGAAAAAGTTCGAACTTTTTCCTCAATAGTTCGAAAGCGTTCGAGTTCGAACTCTTTAAAAAAAGTTCAAAATGGCATTAATAGTTTAAAACACATATAAAATTATGTTTTAAATTTTAATTTTTATCAAGTATTTATAACTAATTTTTCTTTTTTGAGTATATGTGATGTCCGCAAGGCCGTCCCGAAGATGTCTTTCATGGGAAGGAGGGGGTGTTGTATTTATTTTTTGCCACCCAAAAAAAAAAGTTCTTCGATATTTGCAATTTGCTAACTTGTTTAAAACTTGCTCAGCTTTGGGAGGTGGGACACCCCTACACCCCCCGTTCAGGACGGCCCTGAATTCCCGGTCAAAACTACTTTAATTGCCACCCTCTCCTAGTGGCCCTGGATGCAACTGAGGCAAAACGGACAAGCAAAAATAACATAAAAAAGAGAAAGATGTTATATACTAAAAATGAAATCATTTATTTTAAGGATACAAGTAGGTCATTGCCACCAAAATCAACTTAAAAAATTTTTTTTTTTTAAATTGTTAAGGTACTCAAAGATAAAATAATGGTCTTTTCACAGAGCATCGCAGTAGGCCATGTTGTGCTAAAAGTCAAAATTATTTTTATTCAAGTTTAAAAAATATAAAACTACTATTCAATGACCGTAGCATAATGATTTACATAAAAACATTAGGAATATTAATCAAAAAATGCGCCTTTACTAAAATTTTTATATTCAGTTTGTCACCCTCAACATTATTTTATGCGATCAAGCGCTTTTCTAAAAAAATTTGAAAAGTATTTTTTTTATATGTGTTGCCGTTAAGGGGGCTCACCCCCTCAAAAATATTTCGACAACTACCAAGTTTAAAAGATTTT